TGGCGCACACAGGAACACACTATAAAGGTAGTGGAAGATGGGGAGTGGGTACCCCTTGGGCTGCAGTGAGTTAGTTGGTATACAACAGGAGGACTCGCTGAGGAGTCTCCTGGATTTATTGGGGTATATATACTACTACAGGTTTGTTTGTACATGTGTACTATACAGTTGATGAAGGCAGTGGCTGATGATGTCATAGGGCCTAGCCCGTATGGCCAGCTCCACTGCGTGAGAGAGTTAAGTCTAAAAGTAAAAGAAAGGCAACACGGCGTGAGAAAGGGAAATGCCGCGTGGCACTTAAAGTATAAAGTTAAAGCGGAGAATAAAAGGAAAGGAGATGTCCGGAAATTGTGTTATCGTAACACCCATTCACTTGGGTACACTTATCCTTTGTCCATCGTCTTTGCTACAGCTACACCTACCACACGCTGCCTGGGACTCACTTGTTCCAAATTGGAACTACTCCTCTCCCTCCCTTGTTTGATCAGGTGGTCCAACACAACCAGTCCATTGGTAAGGCCATGGAACTGTCGGATTTGGACTAGGTGGTGGACCGGTGGCTCCAGTTTCTTTTTTTCAGCAGAACATTCATTTGCAGTGCGATTATTTTTGATTTTTGAATCATTTTTATGGACACATATTTTTTTAGAATGCCTGACTGACAATAAAGGAACTGTGTTGATACTGATAGTGTTTTGCCTTGCCTTTTTTTTTACTGCATCTTCCCATGACATCATGATTTTCCTGCTCTCTTTTTGCTATTGGACTTTACTTTATGGCTGTACAAACCTGTAACATTACTCACAGCATTCATTGTTCTATCCCTTTCTTTCCCTTATTTTGACAATCTTATCCTGTAGCAACTACGCAGGATTTGTCAGCGTACATTCCTTCCTTCATGTTCTTTCTCATTCTTTTTGCGCAGCTATACTGTGCATAGCCTGCCTTTCTTTTCACTATATAAACCCCTGTATTTTACCTTGTAAAAACAGCAAAGAACTCGATTCCAGACTTCTTCTCTAAATCTCAAGTTCACTACTCTGCTACTTGTGATCCAGTGTGGTCACAATACTTCCCACTGCTACCACTGCTATCTGCTGTCATCGTCACTTGTCATTTTTGAAAGTCACTGTCATCCCTTTCGATTAGAGTCCTTCTGAGCACTACAGTTTGTGCGTCAGGAGCCTGCTATCACTGGGAACCTCGTCACCTCGTCATCTTTGTCATTCTCAAACCTACCTTGTGCTACAATTAGCAAGGTAGTGCTCGTCTATACTCGTCACAAAGCCCCCATCTTCTATAAATTCAACTATCCCTCCTCCTCAAAACCCACACCCATACCTCTCTGGGTTTTAATGAAACAAAAATTCCTCAAATCCCCCGTAACACAAATTCCCGACTCCTCAAAACCATCAAAAATTGCTGCAGACACCAGCAAACACGCCACAGGAGCTGTATTAATGCAACTCAATGACCAAAGACAATGGCACCAATGTGCATTTTTCTCCAAAACTCTATCCCCCACTGAAAAAAACTACCAGATCTATGACAAAGAGTTATTAGCGGTAATGAGAGCTTTAAAAGAGTGGAAACAATTACTTTTGGGAAGCCCCCACACAATCCAAATCCTGACAGATCACAAAAACCTTACCCGTCTCAGCATTCCTGTATCACACACGAACAATTAAAAACACAGTCGAGCAAGCCATGCTCACAAACAATAATTATCCAGGAAGAACAAAGAAAGATGATTGGAGAAAAGAAGAAGGACGGTTCTTTTATCAGAATAAATTACTGATTGATGAAGTAGAAGAACAAAAGACGATCATCAAAGATCACCACAATTCCCTGTCCACAGGACACCCAGGAAGGCTCAAAACCTACCAGTTGATCAAAAAGGCCTATTGGTGGCCAGGAATGATGAAACAAGTGGAAGAATATGTTAGTTTTGGTGATTCTGCACCTTTGTGCTACCTATATATTTTCATTCCTTTCTCTATCTATTCTTCTATCATTCACTATTGATTGTGTTCTCTATTATTTCGCCTTTGTGGCTGCTTTGTTTACCTTTGTTTACAAAACTTCGGACAGTACTGCAGAGTCCAATGCTTCCTATTCTCTAGTTACTCACATTGGACTCTAGGTACTGTATACCTGTCATACTCTCTAATAATATAGTTACTCACATTGGACTCTAGTTCCAGTCCCTGATTGCTCTCAGCAAGTGGGCTAGACACTTCCTTCAAGCTTTGTTCTAAATAGAATACGTGAAAGGATGCGCAACTTGTCAACAAGCAAAAGTAAACACGCATCCCACCACCATACCATTAATCCCAAACCAGACCCCAAAAACCACCGGACCAATGAAGTACCTATCCGTAGACTTCATAACTGATTTACCAGAATCTTCAGGATATGACAGTATAATGGTCGTGGTAGACCAAGGACTTAGTAAGGGGGTAATCCTCTCACCTTGTTATAAAACCATTGACGCACTCAAAACCGCACGAATCTTTCACGATTCCATCTCCAAACGATTCGGATTGCACGATAAACTCATATCCAACAGGGGACCACAGTTTGCCTCTGAAGTATCCAAAGAACTTCACAAACTCCTGAACATTGAAACCGCACTCTCTTCTGTGTATCATCCCCAGACAGATGGACAAACAGAACAATCCAATCAAGAACTGGAGATCTACCTCCGCATATTTTGCCAGAACCAACCGCACAGCTGGACAAAATACCTTACAACCGCCAAATTCTGTCACAACCAAAGACCACACTCCACAAACAACCAATCACCATTCTACCTCCTCATGGGATATGAACCCCGAGGAATCCCAACTAAACACAGATCCACAAATATCCCATCAGTGGAAAAATGATTATCCGAACTACTTAGGGCAAGGGAAAACGCCCTAAAAGCACATGAACTGGCAAGAAGCAAGATGATGAAACGAAACAACGGAAAGTTCACGCGATTCTCTGAAGGATAAAAGGTGTGGTTAGAGAACACCAACCTGCAAGAAAAAGCTACCGAATACAAGAAGTTCAACATGAAACGCATCGGACCTTTCCACATCCAAGAAACGATTTCCCCGGTGAACTACCGACTATCCCTGCCTTGAAAATACAACACTAGCAAATACGGTCCCGGGTATGGT